TCACGGTTGTTACTTGAAGAAGTTAAGCTCCTCATACATTATCCTCGTATTAAATGTTGACGTTGTGTTGATTGTTGGTTCCAACACGCAGAAGATCAATGAGCTTAAGATGCAGCTGACCGGAGAGGACAAGAAAATGAACCAAGGGACTACTAAGCTAAAGAAAGTCCTTAGTTAGGAGAACTTAGCGGATGAATATAATAAGGTGTTTACCACTAAAAATTTGAAGCCATGTATGGCATCAACTGCCCTTCCAAGATTTTAAGGATGTGGGTTAGCGTAGAGAAGGAGAGAGATTCAGATAATGATGAAGACTTTAACTGGAAGATGAAGTTGTTCAAGCCTTCGAGTGGGAGATTCTTGAGGTATGATTTTTTGTCCAACATGGAGCACTTAGAATCAAGTGGAGCACTTGGACGAACCATTTTGAGTTCATTTGGAGCAATTAGAACTCAATGGAGCACTTGAGGTTCATGGAGCATGTGACAAAGGAACGGATCATCTGAGAAGGGAATGGATTGTCTGACAAAGAAACGGATCAAGTGCCAGAGGAAAGGATCATATAAAAGGGGGTTTGGAGCATCTGGAAGAGGTTTGGAGCACTTGGTAGTGATATGGAGCAACATGGGAACCTTGTTGCGCCATCTGTTGAAGGGTTGGGCCAAGAAGGATGTTGTTGCGCCGAGGGCACTCCTTTTTGCGCCAAACTACTCCCTCTTGAGCCATGGGGTACCTCTCTTGCGCCATGAGGTACTCCTATTGCGCCATGGAGTATGTTGTTGCGCCAAGTATGTCCTTGTTGCGCCTATGCATGTTGTTGTTGTGCCAAGATGGTGATGTTACTCCAACCTAGAAGTTCTTGCACCATACTTGATGCCTGTTGCGTCAACCTTGCACATGTTGCGCCATCATGGTGCAAGATGGGTTATTTTTGGTTCTTTGATGAGCCATGGTATCCCTGGTGAGCCAAGTATGATATGAAGTGGTCTATGATACTCAAGATCGTTTAAGGATGCTTAGAAGTTGGTATTGCTCAAGATATACACCACGTTGTGCCACCATGATAGATGTTGGGCCATTAGTGTTCATGATGCAGCACCTGTACATCATGATGCTCCATTATGGTTAACGTGGTCCATCATGTGTGTTGTTGATGCTCGTGGGTTGTATGACATGGAAGAATGTTCCAGAAGATGCTGCATGGCAGAAGATGATTGGTTGTCACCACTCATTGGCCTATGGGCCAATGGGCTTGGACCACTATGGTTTTAGGTATGATCCATCAAGTATAAATATAATCATATCTCCATCATTATGAGTGTGCAGAAATTTCAAGAAATTAATCATTGTGAGGTTGAGAGCACTCCTTTGGAGCAGTTAGTAAGCAAGAGAGATTCTTTTGTTTTGAGAGCTCAAGTGTGGTGTAACCTTTGTGTGATTGTAATTGTTCTTGGAAGTTAATAAAATCCTCTCTCTCTCTCTCTCTCTCTCTCTCTCTCTCTCTCGTTCGCCCGTGAATGTAGGTCACTGAACCACGTTAAATATTGTGTTCACTTGATTTACATTTTCAGAAGTTTTATTTCCGCAAGTTCACCGAAGTTTGTTTTGATATTTGTCTGAAGTGCTTAACTTGTTTTGTTGTCAGCAACAATAAATCCCTGATATAAACATACGTCAATAATTATGATATTCTATTATTCCATCAGATAATGGAACTACCATGTATTGTCTCCGAGAATATGTGAATTTATCTTAAACATTGACCAGAAAGTCCAAAATCTTATTCTATTTTGGTACATGATGACGAGGAAGTTTAAAATTATATTTAGTTAACACATATAATTACAAGAGAACAAGCTGTAGCATATATATATATATATATATATATATATATATATATATAATATATATATAATATATATATCAAGTATTCAAGTGGACTAGTCTAGAGAGCCGAAACCATGAATTGCAATCCGGAAAGGACACAACTCAAGCATCGAGAGAGGAGATGATTAGAGTTTCTCGCTTGTAATTTTACATCTGCATGTTAGGATCGAGACACTTAACACACGACTCTAAACACACACACAGCTCACGAAAAACAAGAACACGAGGGATTTAACGTGGTTCGGTCCTTCTCTGACCTACGTCCACCGGTAACTAGGAATTTACATTTCTTGGTGCTAATCTGCACTCTTTCTGTGTTACACTAGATACAAGTTTTACAAATACAGAATAATCTCTTATATAGAGATGGAAATTAGAAGTAGTCAAAAAACACAACTGGGTCTTCATTCAACAATTGTGGCTTCACAACTTCACATTGTTCCTGCCATTTTTGACCAGCTTTTCTGTGGATTCACACTCAACATTTCTGTGGATTCATACTCAACAATCTCCCACTTGAAGCCACGGAACAATCTTCACATGTGCTTCAACTGTGCATCTGTATTTGATCTTAACTCCTTCCTAGTTACCCTGGCCTTCTCTTCAATTAACCTGAAGGCCAGTTGAAGCTTTCGTTAGCTCCAACACATCAGTCATGGCTAAGTCTGCCACTGACCTGTTCTCTGTCTCCATCGGCTCCCACTGAAATGAACTGCCCGATCCTGGAACATCCTGAGAACAAACGACACTCTCCATGTGAAGCAGATAATCTGGAGAGACTTTTACAGATGGAATACTGGTTCTCTTAACCCACTGTGTTCTGGGTATTCTAGCTGAAACAAAGCCCATGCTCCCACTGCTATGAATGCCCTTGACTGGTTTTTCTGAACCGTTCCAAACACGTTCAACCTGAATCTGACCTGTGACTCTGGGTTTGCCATCTGCAAAGCAAACCTTCTTCTGTCCACGAGACTCTATGAACCGGATTTTGTTTTTCTTTTGAACTGGGACGGTTACTCCCTCAGACGGTAAACTGACCATATATAATGAACCCCTCTTATGTCCACGAGCTATCACAAGATTTCCTTTGACAACCTTCCACTGCCCATTCCTGAACTTAACCTCGTGTCCCTGTTCATCCAACTACCCAACAGAAATCAACTGTTTCTTCAGACTTGGAATTACCCGGACATCCTTCAAAGTCCATGGACCAACTGGAGTCTTCAAATCTAAGTCACCTATGCTCGTCACATCAAGAACCTCATAGTTCGCCAGTCTTACCTTACCAAAATCTCCTTCTTTCAGATTCTGCAGTGCTTCACGGCTGTGGGTAGCGTGAAATGAAGCACCCGAATCCATAACCCAGGAATCCACATTGCTCTCCACACTACAGATCAAAACATCATCATCTGAATGGTCTACTGCAACGTTAACTTCTTTCTTGTCTTTTGGACATTGATTCCTGAAATGTCCAACCTCTTTACAGTTCCAACAAGTCACATCATTTCGAGTCCTCGACTGACTCCTTCTCCTGTTCCCGCTCCCACTACCTCTGTTATTTCTTCTACCTCTGACCGCATTCAATTGTTCACTTGATGATTCCCCGGAATTTCTTCGTCTGACGTCTTCGCCTAGAATTAAATCCCGAATTCCCTCAAAAGTGAGCTCTTTCGATCCTGCGGAACTAGTAACGGCGTAACTGTTCCGGACCAACTGTCAGGTAATGATGATAACAGTAGTAAAGCTTGAACTTCGTCCTCAAATTTTATTCCCACTGACCCAAGTCTGGATAAAATTGAGTTCAAATTGTTGATGTGTACTGTAACTGAACTTCCTTCCCTCATCCTCGTGTTGACTAGTTCCCGAATCAGGAAGACTTTATTTGCTGCCGACGGCTTCTCTTACATATTAGACAATGCCTCCATGATTCCCTTTGCCGAGGTCTCCTTCAAAATGTTGAAGGCAACATCCTTTGACAAAGTCAGTCTAATAAATGCCTTGGCCTTCTTATCCAAAGTCTCCCAGTTTGCTTGTGTGATCGCCTCCGGTTTTTCACCTAAAACTGCGTCCAAGTCTTTCTGCACGAGCAAATCTTCAATTTGCATCTTCCACCAACCAAAATCTTTCCCATCAAACTTCTCAATCTGAAGCTTACTGCTTTCTGCCATTTTCTGAAAGATTAGGGGCTAAACTGCAATTTTCTGAAAGTTCAGGGGCTAAACTACAATTTTCTGAAAGTTCAGGGGCTAAACTGCAATTTTTCAAATCTGCTACAGTGTCTGGTGCTACAGTGTTGCTACAGTGTCTGCTGACATCACTGCTGACATCGTGCTACAGTCCTGCTACAGTGTCGTCTTCTCCGACGGACTGCTACAGTGTCTGGTGCTACAATGTCGTCGTCTCCGGCGAACTCGTTTTCCCGGTCAATATTCCGGCAAACCTTTGACCGGCGATTTGGACGTCTTCCGGTGATCAAAAATTCAGAAAAAAATATTTTCGGAATCTTCGGAACGAGACCTTTCCAACGGTATACACCAAAATCGTTTTTGACGAAAAAAAATTTCGACCAAAAACTTAAAATCACCTTCTGTAGCTACAACCTTGCTCTGATACCACTTGTTAGGATCGAGACACTTAACACACGACTCTAAACACACACACAGCTCACGAAAAACAAGAACACGAGGGATTTAACGTGGTTCGGTCCTTCTCTGACCTACGTCCACCGGTAACTAGGAATTTACATTTCTTGGTGCTAATCTGCACTCTTTCTGTGTTACACTAGATACAAGTTTTACAAATACAGAATAATCTCTTATATAGAGATGGAAATCAGAAGTAGTCAAAAAACACAACTGGGTCTTCATTCAACAATTGTGGCTTCACAACTTCACATTGTTCCTGCCATTTTTGACCAGCTTTTCTGTGGATTCACACTCAACATTTCTGTGGATTCATACTCAACACTGCATGCAGCAGTTTTACCATGTGTTCCTCTAGATATGGAACATAAGATTACAATCTGGAAAGGACAAAACTGAAGCATCAAAGAAAGGAGATGAATACAGTTGTCCATAAGATGCACTTTCAAATCTACCATAGACACAAGCTTTCTATCTAGCATGCAATAGTGTTATTGTGTATTCCTCTAGAGTTGAAACAGAGTTGACTTGACGGTGACTTTCTTCCGTGAAGAAAGCTGGTTGCTTAGGTGGAGGCAATGCACCCTCGCTAATCAGCATCAAAACCACAGACAACATAGTTGGCCTATCTTCTGCATGATGTTGCACGCACAATAATCCAATATGTATTGATCGTAGTACTTCAGAGATAACGCAGGAGTTGCGTAAAGACGCACTCAATAGTTGAATGGACTTGTTTTCTTTATAGAGTCTCCATGCCTGAATGAAAACAAACATCAAATAAATATGCTAAGGCTGATCTTAAAGAAAACAGTAGTGGCTGTCCCTTTCAGTCTACTTACATGTCCAAGAAGGTTGTCACTGTGAGCCTCATGAGAGAACTCTCTGTTCTTTTTTCCACTCACTATCTCCAGCACAATTACACCAAAGCTAAATACATCCGACTTTATAGAGAAACATCCATGTACCGCATACTCAGGAGAAATATAACCACTGCAACCAAGTTCAATTAATAAACATAGATTAGTAGGGTTTCGTGTTTTTTTTTAAGTTTTTTTTTATTTTCCCATGTCTTGAGAAAGAAATGCGAGCATTAATATAGTCCATGTTTTGTAGAATCTTACTATGTTCCAACAACCTTCTTTGTCTTAGCCATGTCATCCTGTCCTACAAATTTCCGAGCAAGGCCAAAGTCTGATATTTTTGGATTCATTTCACTGTCCAGCAAGATATTACCTGCCTTGAGATCTCTGTGGATGATTTGGAGGCGGGAATCTTGATGTAGATAAAGAATACCTCGAGCAATACCATGGATAATGTGAAAGCGCTGAGGCCAGTCAAGCATCGAACCTGTGGCTTCATCTGCGAAATATGAACTACTTAATAAGTCTGCATGTTGCTACAACAAGTGTGAAAGTAAGGCATTAGAGGGAGTCAAACCAAACAGAAATGAGTCCAAGCTTTTGTTTTCCATGTATTCATAAACTAGAATCCTTTCATTTGCATGAATGCAGTATCCAAGAAGCTTCACAAGATTCCGATGTTGAAGTTTGGCGATACAAATGACTTCATTTTGGAACTCATCAAGTCCTTGTTGGGATGTTTCTGAGAGACGCTTTACAGCGATTACTTTCCCATCTTCCAACACACCCTAAAAAATAAATATTGGAACTTACGATTGTAATATTCCTTTTGATGATACTGTCAAGTATCACATTTTAATTAAAACAGCAGTAATTACCTTGTAAACTGGACCAAAACCACCTTCTCCAATCTTATTATCAATTTTAAAGTTATCAGTAGCCTTAGCTATTTGATACATGCTAAGAAAAGGTACCTCATCAAGGTTTTCTATCTGAACACTGGAATGATCCTTAACAAGGGTATGTGGACTGCTCCCTACAAAAAAGTTCATTTTCATTTTCTCCTAATTACATGGATATGCCAAATAATATATTCTTGGAAAGTTGTAATTTGTAATGGTAATTGTTAATGTATCATTTATGGAAGCATAACAAATATCTTGTCTCCATGTTACCTCGTCCTTTTTTGTGATGCATTTTCATTTTCTTTCTACAGGCATATGCTACTGTAGACAGAAGCAGTGCAGCTGAAGAAACTGACAGCATCACCATGAGTACTTCCTTCTTTTTGTTGAAGCTGGATTGGCCTTTTTCTAATAAATGTAATAGTTATTAATGTTACAATCCAAAACCATGCAAATAAATCCAAACCTGCAGTTTATGCACATTACACATACTTTTTTTTTTTTTTTTTTGAAAATTCCTTTTAAGAAATTTTATAATGTAATGTTCCTAAGGGTCATGTAAGTCTTCATCATATGTATAATGTATGGCTAATAGGTTTTAGCACCTAAAAGGATTAGCTTGAAATCAAAAGATAGTCGAATTCTAGCTATAGCTAATGATAGTACTTACTCTGTTAGGGTCATGTAAGTCTTCATCATATGTATGGCTAATAAGTTTTAGGAAATTGTATAATGTAATCGCTTTAATTGTGTTACCTAGTCAGTGCGCCTTTGAACTCCATGCCAACGTGGTGGGAGGTCAAATCTCTCGGCCAACCATGTCACACCACAATTCAACAGGCTCTAGACTTTTCACTTTTCACTTATATATATTATATTTCTTTTTCTTGAAATATTTTGAAGATTTTTTATTATATTTTTTGGTTTTTGAAGTAGACGGACCTGTTAATGGTTGATAACCATATTGTTGACAAATATTTCCTAATTCATTCTTACTATTAATTCTATCTTTTTTAAGTTTTTCCGTAGGATTATTTGACAAAAATATTTTAGACACTTTGGTTTTAACTGTTGAAACAAAGAATTTAGAATTTAAAAATAACTCTAAACCTTTAGCAATTATTTATCGTGTTTGTTATAAAACCATGACAACTACCTTAGAACCAAAAACCCGTTTGTCAAATCCAAGAAATGAAACAATTATTTACGAAGCAAATACTAATCATACAAAAGTTCATATGCCTAAACGACTTAAATGGTCAGAAATTACTCAATCATGTAATTGGAATTTACAAAATGTTATTGAACCAAAATGATTTTTATCATTAAAAAATATCTGAAACTACTAGTTAGAAAATGGTATCAGAGCTACGTTTTAGACCAGAGATTAGTATGTATGATAACTCTGTTTGTTATTTGGTTAATTTTTGTTTGAAGAATTTTAAGAAAATTATGAGTTTTGTTAAGAATGATACAGAGACCAGACCAGTGATTGGTTGGATTAGCGTAAGACGTGCAAGTATGGTAAGTCACGGAGCCGGACCACAATCATCGTTGGGCCGATGCCCTCTCTGTTCATCCTAGATAAAACAAGTAAGTTTTCTTATAAAATCTTTAAACTAAAATTAATCAAATATGAGTAGATTTTCACGCATATTATCTAAAAAATATGATACTGGTAAAAATATTATGAAAAAAGAACAAGATTATGATGATAATCATATAAACTCTATTGAAGAAACTATTGATAATATAGAACAAAATTTAAATGATTGGACTATACCTAAAACCAATATAAACACAATTTATAGAATAGGGACTTTTGATTATTTTCAAAGTTACTCAATTAAAATGACTGAACAAACCTTATCCATTGGTCAAAACCAACAAAATATAAATTTGTTATCATCAAGATCTATTTTCGAACATAGACAAAAATATAAATTTCTTCATTTAGGTCTTGTTCAAATTGCTATCAAACCTCTTTTTAGAATTGGTGTTGATGCTCCTGTTCTCTTAATATTAAGAGATAAAAGACATACAGATTTTCAAAATTCTATTTTAGCTATGGCAGAAACAAATATCACAAATGGACCAATTTATTTTAATTGTTATCCAAATTTTTCCGTAGGATTATTTGACAAAAATATTTTAGACACTTTGGTTTTAACTGTTGAAACAAAGAATTTAGAATTTAAAAATAACTCTAAACCTTTAGCAATTATTTATCGTGTTTGTTATAAAACCATGACAACTACCTTAGAACCAAAAACCCGTTTGTCAAATCCAAGAAATGAAACAATTATTTACGAAGCAAATACTAATCATACAAAAGTTCATATGCCTAAACGACTTAAATGGTCAGAAATTACTCAATCATGTAATTGGAATTTACAAAATGTTATTGAACCAAAATCTTTAGATTCTTCAAAACAAATTTCAAATATAATTGAGCATAATGATGGCTCAGTTGATATAAACTTTTCTTCTACAAATTTTTCTTCATCTAGATTTTCTACTAGTTCTATTCCTGAAATTGGCACTTCTAAATTTTCGCTTTCAAAATCAAAGTCTTTAAATTTAAAAACTGTTGACTATTCTAGTCCTATTCCTAAACCTCTTTATCAAGAAGACCAAACTAGTGATACAAGTTTACCAAGTCCTACTAAATCTGATTTTATTAATGAACTTCAAAATTATAGACAACAATTATGACTAATAAAGTTCAAATAAATTGTAATTCTTTAAATAGAAATAGAGTTACTGCTATTAAGAGATTAAGAAATTCAATAAAAATATTTAAAAAACTCTTACAAGAAAAGATATTAGAATTAAAAAATATAAATGATGATAAAGAACTATTAGAATTAGAACAAGAAATTAATAACATAAAAGCAGTATTAAAAACCTTTAATATACATCTTGATAATTATTTAACAAATTTATCTAAATATACGTGTTAATGAGTTCTAAAAGACAGATTAGTTGTAGTAATAATAATAAATTTTGGAATAATTTATTAAAGACCAGATGGCAAATTATTGCAAGCATTTCTAAAGAAATAAATAGAATTAAACAACTCAAAGAAGACGAAGAAATTAAATTAATTAATACTGAAAAAGACACATATAATTATAATATTCAAAAGGAAATAATATATTGTTTATCAAAAATGATTAAAAATAAAAATATTGTTATTAGTGCTCAACTTAGTATTATTAAAAATATATCTTTTAGATTAAATCAATCAACTTGTTAAAATGAATATTAATATAGATATTTCTAAAATACCATCATATGTTAATTTTGATTATTTAAAAGAAGAAGAATATTATAAAGATTATAATAATACAAAAAGAATTTGGCATGAAGAAAACTTTTCATATTATATAAGATTTTTACATTTTGGACTTTGGGAAGATTATGTTTTATCAAATCAAATTCACTCTCCGTTTTTTCAATGGTTCGAATTAATTTATGCTCCTAAACATAATATAGATTATCCTTTTAAAATGCAAACTATTTTTCCTGTTTCTTCAAAAACATACAAGGATGTTATTACTAATCAAGAAATTATTTCTGAATACCCGCCAAAAAAGGAAATCATTATTGATAATAATTTTATTGCAACTCCTTTAGTTAAAGTTCTGAGTCAGATAACAAATGAAAAATGTTTTCAAAACATTATTTATCAAAATAATTACTCAAATGAAACTCTTTTAACTATTTCAGATCAACTAAATAGGATTGAAGAAAATACTATAAATTTACAATTATCAAAAGAAAATAAAATCAAAACAAAAATTTTTTATAATAATATAGCAAGTTCTAGTAATGTCAGCTTTATTCCTCATCAAATAAATGGAATTTTAATCTTGGAAATAAAGATTTAATTGATGAATTAGAAAAAAGACTTACTAATTTCCGTATTTCAAAAAAATGTATCTATAAATATGTTAAGAACAAATAATGACTCTCTTGACGAATCTGATGAAAGTAATAATGAAAGTGAATTAAATTTAGACAATCTTACTCAACAATTCATAAATGACAATGATGATATAAATCAGCTTACAAATGAATTTTCAAGATTAAATAAGATTAATTATTTTGGTAATAATCCAAAACCAACTATTAAAAATTATTGGAATAGACCTTCTCTTCCTGATGTTCAAATTGAAGAAAGAGCTTTTCAATATGATCGTTCAGCTTACGATGGTACTTCTGTTTACGAATGGAATATCGATGGTAACTCTGAACATCAAATTCTTAATATTGTTCAAGAAATGACCATGGCAGCTAATGCTTACAAGTCTCACAATAATACTCAACTTCAAATTGTTAATATTATTATTTCTGGGTTTACTGGTACTCTTAAAGGTTGGTGGGATTTCTATATTACACCAGAAGAAAAGAATTTTATTATGAATGCCAAGAAAACCGTTATAAAACAAGAAAATAATTTACCAATTCAAACTCAAGAGGATGATATGGTTAATACTTTAATTTTTGCTATAATCAAAAACTTTGTAGGAGATCCTACTACTTTTCAAGAAAGAACTTCTGAAATTCTAATGAACTTACATTGTAGAAAATTAACTGATTTCAGATGGTACAAAGATAATTATCTCGTTAAAGTTTTTTCAAGACCAGATTGTAAAGAATCTTATTGGAAAGAACGTTTTATTGCTGGACTTCCAAAACTTTTTGCCGAAAGAATTAGACAAAAATTAAGAGAAAATTTTAATAATACAATTCCTTATCAAAACTTAACTTATGGAGACTTAATTAATTATATTAATAAAGAAGGATTAGCTATTTGTGCTGACCTTAGATTTAAAGAAAAACTTAAAAAAGATAGAATTAATAGTAAGAATGAATTAGGAAATTTTTGTCAACAATATGGTTATCAACCATTAACAGGTCCGTCTACTTCAAAAACCAAAAAATATAATAAAAAATCTTCAAAATATTTCAAGAAAAAGAAATATAATAAATCAGAAAAATATAAGAATTATAAGAAAAATAAATTTTTAACATCAAAAAACCCTTATAAACGATCTAATAAAAATTCTAAAAGAAAATCAAAAGACATTATTATTTGCCATAAATGTGGTCGTAATGGTCATAATGCTAATAATTGTTATGCAAAAACAAAAATTAATGAATTAAATATTTCAGAAGAATTAAAAGAACAAATTAGAAAAATTATGTTAAATTCTGATTCCGATTCTGATTCTAGTTTTACCGATTTTCAAGAAAATGATTTAAACATCTTAGAACAAAATACTTCAAGTTCGGAAGATTCTGATACATGCAAATGTGTTGGAAAATGTAATTGTAATTATTCAATTAATGTCCTTACAA